AAGGCTATTACTGAATACTTTTCGTTACCGGAGGGTGCGTGAAGCTGCGAGACGGCTGCCAATTGTGGAAGCTGGTCATGGCGCAGCAAGGATTTTCCAAGAGGCGGTGGCAACTGGCCCTTCCCCGCCTCCTGGCCGGGGAGCTGGCTCTTCCACTGCCTCGAGCCCAAATCTAGACCTGACCTGGAGGCACAGTCTCGCAGGCTCTTGCTCCCTGTGCCCAGTAGCAGTTTGAGTCCGGGACACTCCCCAGGGCCATCTGGGGCTGCCCAGGCTCTACAGCCAGCAGAAGACGCTACTGGTGTCCCTGATGTTTGGTCATTTTCAATGCCAATAACTAAGCTACAATGGTTCTCCCACACCTGGAAGCTGATGAGTAATGAGCACCATTAAGGCTTATTTCAAATGTAAAAAAAAACCTTGAGATAATGTACTAAATTGTTCAAAAGGTTGTTTTCTTAGTGGAATACTACAGGATTTTCTTTAGCCATCCGGAGTTCCTGCCTTCGTCCCAGTGCCAGTGAAGACGAAGGTGGAAGAATTTCCAGTGTTGCTAAAAACCGGACGAGACTTCGGATCAAGCTAGCTGCCTGCAGAACTTACCTGGACTGTGATTTAAGCTAGCTGCCTGCAGAACTTACCTGGACTGTGATTTACCTGGACTGTGAGTTAATCTATTGAGACACTGCTTTACCTGGACTGAGACAACAAACTGTAATCAATAACAAATTGTAACTCAGTATCTTTGCTAACAGTGTCATTGCTGGTATAATTTTTCCAAGGGCTTCTTGCATGGAGCCATCAATTGGCTTGGTATTGTGGCATTTTGTATCCTCCCTTTCTGTTTGTAGCAGGTTATTTATGGTGTTTCTGTAAAAACCACTATGGTCGTTATTTAAATTAAACAAAAGGGGGAAATGTTAGAGTCTGTAAACAAGTCAAAATAACACCTGGCATTTAGTCAGGGGAATGTTAGAGTTCGTAAACAAGTCTGGATGGTGCCTGGCAAAATGCCAGAGGGAGTGGTTTGAGAAGTAACAAAAACAAGCCATTAAGTGTGGAGATTCCTTATTGGTTGACTGATGTATCTAGTTTATGCTAATTAAGATAAGCTGTGCGGAATGTATAAATACTGCTCCTGTCCTGCAATAAACGGCTCCCTCTCCTGCTGTATCAACGTACACAAGTTATTCGTCACCCCCCGGTTATTTTGCTGCAGCCAGCCGGACTGCGGCACTTCCTGAGCCACATGATCCTGAGGACAATAGTGACAGCTATAGTCATTTGCTACCTATACATCTGGTAAAGGGTAATATATGAATATGCAAGAACAACATGGAAGCAGAAGAATCTCCAGATCAGTGATGTCATGTTGTGCCTAATCCTCAGACATCCAGTGGAGCTCAGTGTGGACAAAGGCTTTTCAACCAACCTGGGCTAGGGACTGTAGATCAGCAGCTGGAGAGAAGACCTTTACACTGCTAATGATCAAGCCTGGACAGGGATAGGGGCATGAGGCAAGAGGGAGCAGGAAGGAGTAGACACATGTCTCTTCAAAGTGAATGGACTGTTATTTGTAACCCCAAGGATGAATGTCATATGTGGAAACATTTTGTAAACAGTCAGTATAAAAACTGGTTCTTGGTGCCAGAGCCCTTACTGCCTGTTGTCAAGGGAGAAAGGAGGAATAGAAAATTCTACTCTCAACTATTTGGCATTTTCAGAGTGGGTAGCATCAGTGCTTCTCTCCCCTTTCTTATTTATAGAACGTACTGCCCCATACTTGTAAGGAAGACTCCCACTTCCTTTGGTGTGATTTTAGCATCTGTGGATTAATAGAGTGTGTAAAAACAACTGCTTATGTAAAGTTACCCCAACCACCAGGAATAGGAGAATATTCACATATTAGAACTGTCCTGGCAAATGACTTGTGCACCTATCATGCTATTTTAATCTGGGGTGGGTAAAGTAAGTTCTTGTTTGGTGCAGCTATTCATTCAAGTAAAAATATTTAGAACAAAACAAATACTATTGCTGTTGTGTCAGGAGCCACTCTGGACACCTTTAAGTCCTGAGTAAAGGGGTACTGAACAGTTATTACACCCCACAATACATTGGGCTTTACCTCCGCTGATAAGGAAAGTGTGGCTCCAGGAGTGGGCGTCACCCATGCGGTTGAATTACACCCACCTGTTCCTTTGTAACCCTACCCCTTTGCCCTTTTGGGGATAAAATGTTCCATGGAACCTCCCCTTGTGTGTCCCCTATATAAGAATAAAGAATTCCAGTGGCTCTCTCTCTTTCCACGGATCCCTAAGGTCACAGAGCCAACCCTGGATTTTGAAAAGGTACTTCTGTGTGTTTGCATGCTTTCTTTGCCATTTTCTCAAGTTATTGGAATAGTCAGATTTTGTGAACCCAGCATTAGGCCGCCAGCTTGGATAGATGGTGATACTGCTGTCTATGAGAAAGCCCCTTTAATGACCGTGTTATTGTAATTCAGAATGAAGAAAAAACTGCAAACTCCAGTTTGTTATACAAAGTCAGAAGTTTTGGCACTTCAAGTTTGGGTGGAAATATTCCTATCAGGGCCTGGTATGAGTCCCCCGAGTTCCTTGAAATTTTCCTGGAAATGGAGTCCCATCCAGATCTACTATCCTTGGAAGGGGGGAATTGAACTCTGGACCAGTGGGAGTCTTTGATAAATATAGTGAAAAAGCATTTCCTCACATGTCAGGAAAGGCACAGGGATTTATTTTGGAAAGCAAAGAATACACAGTGAAGGGAGAATGTAGGCCATCTGGAGAATGAGAGATGCATTTTGGGGGTTCCTAGATCTTCTTTTAAAGGAAACCGGGTGAGGACTGGGTATGAGAAAGTATGTAAAAATGACAATAGTTTGGCGATCACAAGAGGGCTTATGGTGGTCTGGACATTCTTAGGATCTTTGGGATGATGTGATCTTCATTATCTGATACAGAGATAATGCTGGAAAGTTCCCTACCTTATAGATTTCTTAAAATGCCCTGTCTCTATTTACTTAATCAATTTGTTGGTGAGTTAATTAACAGTATGTAAGGTTATTATAATAAATGAATGATTTAATGGTACCTCTAAGCTTTACAGATTTCCCAAACATTTGAGAATGACAGACCTGGGAGACAGACTGGCTCAGGGAGTGACAGGCCTGGAAAAGTATGTAGAAACTCAGATTGAATATACATTCTTGTCCTTCCTTTATGCCACCTTTATTCCTATTTTAAAATTTCTTCTATCTTATCTCAGTCCCGGGTTAAGTAGGCTGGGCCTGGCTTAGGGTGGGAAACTGAGAATGGACAGAACTGAGTGTGTGTGTGGGGGGATGTGACCCACATGAAGCAAGAAAGTAGGGCCACAGGAGCTGGAGCAGGGTTGACACAGGAGCCTGGGGTCAGGGAGACATCTCTGTGACAGCGTCTATACAAAGAATCCTGGCAGCGATGTTGGTCTGAGATCCATGGAGACCAGGGAGGAGATGCTCTCAGAGTATGTGGGGTGAAGGGCATCTCCAGGAAGGTCAGCACAGGATTCCAAAGGTCCTTCTTTCAAGCCCTCAAAAAGATGCCCTGGGAGCCCCCAGAATGCCAGAAGAAGACAATGAATGGGACTCTGGGATTCTCTGCAAAAGCTTATGTGAATTCAGGGCTGCCAACATCTATAGGTACTCAAGAGGGTGTCACCTCCTTGCACCCCGAGACCTGGGATGCAAGGAGAGGGAGCAAAAGGCATATCCTCAATCATCTCCTTTCAGGAGTGCCTTGGTGTTTTCTTAACTAAACCTAATGCAGTGTTTCTCATTGGGTGTGATTCTACAATCCAGGAAACATTTAGCATTTTTCTGGAGCTGATTTTTTTGTTATTGTTTCTGGATCCGCCCCCCCTTCCCTTCTTGATTGAAGGGAAGCTACTGCCACCTTGTGGCTAGACGCTGGAGGTGCAGCTAAACCTGATGCCCTAGGCAGCCCTTCACAAGTTATTATTTGGATCAAATGCTGAAACGGGAGAAACCCTATCTTTAAGGGAGGGATTGAGCGAACCCATCCTTGAGCTGAGAAGAGAATTCTCTGAACATCCTCTGCTGATACGTTCTCCTTTCACCATAGCACATGATTTGGTATGGAACCTGCCCTGTTCTGAAGGGGACTATGGCTTCCCTCCTGCCTCTTGTCTGCACTTTCTCCCCAACTATAGGGGCTGAAGATGATGATTCTTTGCTCTGGGACACATCCAGAGTGGGCTTGACTCCTTGTCTAAGTGAAATGAAAGGCAGGGAGAAGGCTTGTGCCGACCTAGTTCATTCTTCCTCATGTCTTCTCCCACACCAGCTCTGATGTTCCCTTCTTGCTTTCCTGGCTCTCCCTCTTCCCAAGTGCCAGTTCCCAGCCAGGCCCGTGCATTTCCCCCTGAGAGGCTGCTGTGTGCCTTTTTACTGAAGAAGTACACTGAGGACACCCAGGCACCAGGATGAATTATCTGTGGCCATCTCCACACTGGTCTCTTCTGTCAGTCCTCACCTCTCAGCAGCACCGGAGTGCTCGGTCCTCACCCACTCTGAAACAGGTGCAGAATCATCATGCAGGTTTCACACTAGGCTCAAATCCACTTGAGAGAATATATTATAGTTCCAAATTCTATTGACCAGTCTTCCTGTCCAGAAGTCCATTAAATTCCCTGTTATCTAAATAAATGTTGAAACTAAATAATGGCTATTGATTATTTCTGCTCTCTATCTGAGGTTAATGGTCATTACAAAACAAAACAGGGAAAGGGGAACTTCTTGGCTCTGAGCATACTTTCCTAACTCGGGTTTGAATTATTCACTCTTGTTTCTATGAGGAGTCTGCTGCTGGGATTCAGGTACCACTGAGCTGTAATTCTGCCCCATATCTCCCTCTTTTCATTTTTGTTGGATCACCTGATTTATCATGAGCCTTCATTTTGTCATGTTGACATTGGTGCTAAAGATATGCACATATAAGGGACATGGATGCTGAATCTCAGGTCTCATTTTCCATGTCTCCTGGAAGGAGATGATCGATGTGAATGTACATCTCCATATTAAATTTTCCCCACATATGCATTAAGCAAATTACACCTCCTTCAATGTTTCTACAATGGCAACTACATATGTCTGTGGGTTATGTTTATCTCCAGATGCCTTCCCATCCAGACTGCACACTGAGGGTGGAATCTCTGTCTACTTTCTTCATTCTAGTGTTTAGCATAATGCCTAGTGCCAGGAGAGCAATATACTTCTGTTGAGTGAATATATAAGAAGCATGGTGTATACTTTAAAGATATCACATTTTATGATAAGGGAAGAAAAGATATACAATCTATTTACAAAAATATGATGTATTTTATTTTGTAGGTGGTGTATAGATGATGAATGGGAGCCCAGAATAGAGACATTTGCTGGGACCAGATGTATCAGGGAAGATTTCTTGGTAGATCTAATACTGAAGCAGTCTCCTCCAGATGAAGAGGAGAGCTAGTGAAGAAGTGTAGAAAGGTAGGTGTGAGCTTGGTCATATCACTGGGACCAGAAAAAGAGGACTCAATGATGATGACCTTTGAATTTGGTCCTATATATGGTGATTCATTAGGGTCAGTGCTAGCAAGCAGAAACATAGGGACTTCTAAATGATATCTGATGTCCCCAGTGCTGGGGATCCAACTTAGCAACAAGTGATTCATTACAATGAATTTACTGGTGAAAAACTGCATGTAGACCATGCAAATGAAAAAATTGTAAGATTGGGATGAGGGAAGAAGTAATGGTGAGGAGAAGGTCTCTCCTGGTGAATGAGGAACACATGAGATAGACAGCTGAGTGGCAGATATCATCCTTAAGATGAAAAGCCATGAGAAATGAAGCTGTGATTAAAACACAAAAATAGTCTGAGTGATTTTTTATTGTAATCCTATTTTCTTTCTATCAATTAGGATACTAAATAGTATTGTCCCTAGAGTGTAGTGAGTTAAAATAAATAGCATGCTTAAGAAAGTCCTTGGTACAGAATAAGTTTTTAATAAATGTTTGCTATATTCATTATCTTTTATTGTATTTCGTACACACACACACACACACACACACACACACACACACACACACATGATTGGTACAGGGGATTGAACTAGGGTTACTTAACCACTGAGCTACATCCCCAGCCCTTTTTATATTTTACTTTGAGATCATCTTGCTAAGTTGCTTAGGGCCTTTCTGAGTTGCTAAGTCTGGCTTTGAACTTGTGGTCTTTCTACCTCTGTCTCCTGGGCTGCTAGGAATATTGTTTTTATGGAAAATATGTACCAGACAGCAAATTTGAGAAACATATTTCTGCAGTGATTGGAGAAGTGCTCCTTATTAGGGGCAGAAGTCCGCTCCCTCTCTAGTCACAGCCTGGAAGAATTAAACTGCAAAAGTAACCCTGTTCTCCTGGGTGCATTCAGTTTTTCTTGTGCCTTTTCTAGTTTCTGGATACCAGGGGGAAAAAAAAAACTCATGTTCTAACCAGCACATGTATATAGAGGACTTGGTGGTGGAAAAGGGTTGTGTCCCCATAAATAGTGAGCCGCCTTGGCACAGAAGCCAAGAAATGCCTCTGCCTGATGTGCTTTATAGCAATTCTTGTAGACCTTTCAGAGAGAACAGTGTTCTTTACTCTCCTTTTGTGTCTCACATTTAATCTCCTCCCCTTTTCCAGGAAAGTTCTTGTTGGAACTCAAAGGAAGACCTAAAATACTCAAGATCATGCAGTAAATGACAGTACTGGGACTCAGACTCATTTATCCTCATCAAACATCTTAGTTCTGTCTCTGGTTGTTTTCTTTCTGTGCCTCCATAGGTGGCATCCACTCATGCTGCAACAAAAACCAGGCATCTTCTTTCTATAGATTTTACTATGGTATATATAGTTTCATGAATGAAACATTCTTACAGAAGGAAAGTGTATACAAGTCTTTGCAGAAACATTTTCCCTGTAAATATGTACATTGATGTCTAGTCCATGAATTGATTGCAAAGTTTACCACTTTGTGAGCTGTCACTTATTTTTCTGCTATTTTAATCCTATCCACATTCTTGCATTTACCTATGAATCTTAAATTTTCAGTAAATTTACTGATTGCTCCCAATGAACTTTGTAGTATGAATGCAATTTTATCTTTAAGTGCATGTCTTCTTTATTTTCTGTTTCTTTACCACCCATTTTATTCTCCATTATTTATATATTCTTCATTTATTTATATATTTCTAATTATGAGTAACATAAAATGGATCTTTCTATCTTAAGAACTAATCAGTCTGCATGAAAGGTCCAGGAAAACTGCCATGGAGCATTGGGAAGAGGAAAATATCCAGGAAGAGAGAAGGGGGAAGGCAGGTCTCTAGGCTTCAGCTGAGACTCCACCCCAGGCTGTCACCTCTGCAGCTGGAGGGAGGGTGCAGGGACCCTGCCCTTCAGGTCTTGGGCTACTTCTAGCACTGTGATATTCACTGCCTGAAGTGGGGCATACCCTACACCAAAGTAGAAGAGAAAGAAAACAGATTTATTCTTGAAGAAGTATTCAACCACAATTTGTGATACATAAAAGAGAGATCCACTGGAGAGATTGTAAAGACAGAGGCACATCTCCTGCTTGTACAGAACCAGGCAGTTACAGTTGTAGCATTCTCAAGATAGAAAATAACTCGTTCTCAAGTAAGAGAGATCACAACACCATTTTTATTTTGCGTTTCTTTAAAATAAAATTTATTTTAAATTCACTTTAAATAAATGGGGTAGCCACTTGTTTGCTAATTACATTTACCAAAGGAAAAAATATGCCTCCTATTTTATGGTTCCTGTCCTCCCATGGACACTGGGAGACAAAGATACTATCTCTCTTGATGATTCCATATCATAAAGATGACTCCCAGGTCCTTGAGAAAGTCATCCTTAGATTGGAAATTTGAAAAGAGACTTGTTTACCTTAGCAATTTACATACATCTGGAAGGGAAAAAGAAAAAAATTGCATTGACAAGTTATTATTATTTTTGGTACTGGGGATTGAACCCAAGGCTTCATGCAGGCTAGGCAAGTGCTTTACCACTGAGTTACATTTCTAATCCTTTTTATTTTGTATATTGAGACAGAATTTCATTAAATTGCCCAGGTTGGCCTTGAACTCGCATTCTTCCTACTTCCCAAGTAGCTGGGATTTCAGGTGTGTGTCACCATGCCCAGCACAAATGATTTTTTAAGAGTACTCTAAAAGAAAAATGAGAGGGTTCTTTTCATTTTCACACAGGAGAAAATTAATTGTTTCTTCATTTAAAAAATTCTTTTTAGTTGTAAACGGACATAATACCTTTATTTTGTTTATTTATTTTTATGTGTTGCTGAAGATCGAACCCCATGCCTCACACGAGTGATGCAAGCGCTCTATGGCTGAGCCACAACCCAGCCCCTTCATTTTTGATTCGTATCTATCCTTACACATAAGCATGTTCCATGTCTCCTCCGTCCTCTGCTCTTCAATCTTACCCTTTACTTCAGCCACTCCTCTCTTCTCTCTAGTACTTAGTTCTGTGATACCCAGTTGCCTGTGCCCCCTCAAATTCTCCACAGTTTCCTTAACTCAGGGACCTCCATACTCACCTGGATCCCTCCTCCCTGCCTGCGTCTTTTGAGCCTTGCAGACTCTGAACTGGGGCTTCCATGGGGTTCCCTCCATGGGTTCCTGCCTCCAGGTCACTGCCTGTGTTCTTTTTAGATACTTCCAGTGTCTGAAAACATTTTGTTCCTGCATTTTATCTGCATTTTTATTTATGGATGCTGCAGGGAGTCTGATTCTTGTTATCTCATCATAGGCAGAAGTCAAAGTTCTGAATTTACTTTGAAATAAATTCTTGGTTACTCATATGGGACTGAGCTTGATTCTCTGTGACTTCATAATGACATACACATTGCAGCTTAGTTTACAGCAGAAAGAATGTTAGATAGTTATCTTGAATACTGCAATTTCCCTGATTGAACAGATCTACACATGAGGCATTAATAAAGTAATTACCTCACTAAAATACCTTTCTTTTTAAAAAATTAGATGACACTTGACTGAAATTGTCAGAAATCCTATGGCAGTGAAGGAAGAAAAAGTAACTTAAGGACAAGAGAAATCTTCAGGCAATAAGGTACTAGCAGCCTCTTTTCTTTTTCACCCAATGGATGAACAATGGATCTGCAAGTGAAGAACATGACCTTTACCATGTTTATGATCAAGTTTGTAGAGGTGGTAAAGAAATGGCCCAGAGAATTTATGGGCCCGGTGACAATCTAGCAAAAAACCTTTTATAGAGATGAACTAAGAGCAAGAATAAAAACCTACTGATTTGTTCCAAATAGCAATTGTTTTCTTGGGGGTCATAGGCAGAGAGGCTGAGAAGGATGATTTCAGTTTGGTTTGTGGAGAATCTCTTTTGTTTGGATAAATTTTTAGAAGCAGCCAAATAGCACTGTGGCTTGAAGAGATCCTTATGTAGCAGCTGTCACAAGGAATAGGGGCATGAAAATGAAAAGAGGAGGAAAGAATAAACATGTATCTCTTCAAAGTGAATGGGCAACTATTTTCAGTCCCAAAGACATGTGTCACAGGGGGAATGGCATTGCAAATGGTTGACATAAAAACCATATTTGGTTGCCAGATACAGCATTACTTTTTATTAAGGGAGAAAGGAGGCATAGTCAGTTCTACTTGCAACAATTTGGTGTTTTTAAAGAGTAGGTTGCCTTTGTGCTTCTCCAAGATTTTGACATTTATAGAACATATTGCCCCACATATGAAGTGAGGACCACTTCCTTTTGTGTGCACTTGTAACTTGGGATTATGGTCTGTGAAAATAACTGCTTAAGAATAAAGTTACCTCCACCACGAGGTAGGAGTATGTTCTCCTATCAGAAATGTCCTGGAAAATGAATTTTGTCCCTATGGGGCTCTATTTTAATTTGGTGTGGGGAAATTAAGCTTCTGCTTTGTACTACTGTTTAAAATACACACACACACACACACACACACACACAATGCTGTTACTGTTATCCATGGAAAAGACCATTAAAGCTTCAACTGTTTTGATTCTGGAATGAAGAAACATCTTTGAATTCCAATCATATAACTGAGGCTGGGGCTTTGATACTTCCTCTTTGACTGGAAAATATGTAGGAAAAAATCAGGAATCACAGGTCTGCATTTGTAAAGACTTAAAAAGCTTTTGGGGCTACAGGGTGAGAAGGATATCAATTATTGCCAAGGACAACACCTTCAAATAGCCACCCACTAGACTCTACCTCTTAAAGGACCTCTTAACATGACCACAATGGTCATGTTAAGCTTCCAACACATAAAGTGTTGAGGGATAAACTCAGACCAAATCCAGACTATAGCAGAAGCATGTTGGCTGTGGGTTCAGCAGCAGTAGATTATGCTTGAACCCCTCCTTACCCTACCTGTAAGTCAAGTGTACTGTCCCGTTGGTGGAGTAAACAGAAGCATGTGGTAGTCATTTTCTGAGAGGGATGGGGAGGAAAGATGTGAGGGGAAGAGGGCAGAAGAAAATGTTAGATCAGTTTTTACCCTGCTGATCACCCCCACCACACCACTGAGGTATTGAAGTTTGAACCTAGAGGTGCTCTATCACTGAGCTACATCCCCAGCTATTATTTTGAGAGTCTCCCTAAGTTGTCCAGACTGGTTTCAAACTTGTGATCCTCCTGTCACAGCCTTCCAAGCTGCTGGGATTAAGGTGTGTGCCACTGTGCCTGACTTGCCATGCTGATTTTGAAGCTGTATCCTGGTGAAAAATCTTTGGAGTTGCACATTAACCTCTTTTTAAAAGTTTTCCCAATGATAAGCATACATTGCAGATTTTTATAACTCTCAAACCTTGCTCTCAGTCATCCACTGCCCTACTCCCCAGGTGCCTCTGTGACCTTGTTTGATTTCTTTACAACTACACGATTCCTTCACTAAGGGTCCTTTTCCCAGGCTGTTCCCAAGATCAACTGATGTCTAACCTTGGCTATCGTCCCCTTCCCTGATCTTGGAATCTGCAATGAATTCCCAAGATGCTCTCTCTGTGCTATGATTGTTTTCTTCACTTTTGTCATTATTTTTGGCGTTTTGGTTACTTGAACATATGATCTTTTTTTCTGTCAGTGCAAGTTCAGTGCGTGGCCAGGTGCCTGACTTCAGCCAACTTCTAATGAAGTGGGAGGCAGAAGCTTGGCTTGATGCAGTTCTATTTAATGAACACTAGAGAGAAGCGTTGCCCTGCTCCTTTCCTGGGAGACAGTAGGAGGCCCTCAGATTTTCCCCAGGATCTTCGGTGGTTGGGATCCCTCCCTCTTGCTCCAGGAACAGAAAGGAGAACTCAGCGTCTGTAATAAGCACCGTGGCTCAGGAGGACAGGAAATCGGGCCCCTCCCTCATTCAGATACTTCTAGGTCAGTCTCAGTCTGACAGGGGACACTTGGTCTCCACATTCTTCTCTTCATAGTGAGCCCTCTAATTGCTCCTTAAGCCACAGGACTTCTGTCTCAGGTGAGGAGAGAGACACTTTTACAGAACATCTCTAATCTTCACAGCACTTTTTAAGAATTGATGTCATATTCTTCCGAGCTTATTAGTGAAGAAAATGGAGGATTAGTGAAGTGAGGTCTTTTACTTAAGCTCAGTTGAGAGCCCAAACTGGTGAGCCTGCCCTGTCCATCGCAACAACCTCCCTACCCCCACTTCAGGGTGTGCCCATATGCCTAGGTGTGTCAGGGGAACACAAGGTGGAAGATGTCCCGCAGAGCTGGGTTTAGGGCTACCTTCTTCAGTCCCAGATTTCTCCCACAAGGGGGCAGCACTGATAACCAGCCCCCTTACAGCTGGCATCTGAGGGTCCCTCCTCACGATGGCCTGGCCTGAGGGGCCTCACATCATCCATGACTTAAACCTCCTCTATGAGAGGAGGCGGTATGTAGCTTTACCTGTTAAGGAAAATTCTAACACCTCAGAAGCCCTGCTAATAGTGCCACAGCCCCACGGTTGTTTTTCTGTTCCATT